TTAAGGAGATGAAATAATTAAAAAAAAATTCTCATTAGTTTTAATATACGAAATAATTTGTAATGTTTTTTGCCAAATAAAAGTGAATCTTCACGTAACAATAACGTAACAAATAAGTAACGCTTCTTTTTAAATATTATAGAATGTATTTTACTTTTTGTGGAGATTAAATAATTAAAAAAAGATCTCATTATATAGTTTTAATATAAGAAATAATTTGTAATGTTTTTTGCAAAATAAAAGTGAATCTTTACGTAACAAGTAAGTAACGCTTGTTTTAAATATTATAGAATGTATTTTACTTATTACTTTTTGTGGAGATTAAATAATTAATAAAAAATTCTCATTATACAGTTTTAATATACAAAATTATTTATGATTTTTTACGCAATAATTTTGCTGATGAAAAAAAATATCTAAAATTGATCTCTATAATTATATAGCAGAATTCATATTAAGTTGCGTTTATGTTACGTAACAACCGTTTATTTATTATAAATTTCTAAAAAAATACTGCTATGTAATCATAGAGATCAATTTGCTAATTTAAAAACAAAAATATTATTGTACAATTATTGTTACGCAAAATTAACGTAATCGCTTTCTATACTATTTATGTTACGCAACATGAACGTAACTGAATATAACTTCTATTACATAAACAAAAAGATCAATTTTGTTTATTTTGAAAAAAATAGTTTTCGATACTATTTATATTTATCTAACTTAATATAATTCATGTTACAAAGAAATCAATTATGCTGATGAAAAAAACGATTTAGATACTATTTATGTTACGCAACATAAACATAACTTAAAATATATTGTTACAAAAATGAAGAGATCAATCTTAAGCTGATTTAAAAAAAAAAAAAACGATTTCCATAATATTTATGTTACGCAACATATAATTAAAATAATTTCTGTTATTTTTTGATTTTGACAATTTTGATATTATTTATTTCATGTAATATAAATGTAACTTAATATCATTTCCGTTACATATATGAAGAGATTAATTCTGATTTGGAAAAAAAATCGATTTCCATACTATTTATGTTAAGCAACATAAACGTAACTTAAAATAAATTGTTACAAAAATGAAGAGATCAATTTTAAGCTGATTTAAAAAAAACGATTTCCATACTATTTATTTTATGCATAATAAAAGTTATTAATATCATTTCTGTTAAATAAACAAAGAAATCAAATAAAATTTAAGATTTAAAAAAAAATCGATTTCGATACTATAACCTTAACTTAATATATTTATTAGATTTAATTAATAAGTATCCATTATCATACTATTATGTTACGTAACTTGATATCACTTATGTTACAAAGTGACATAGCATTTCTATAATTACTTGCGACTAGAAATTCATTACATTCAAGAAAATTATAGTCAGACTTAAACCTAACTTAGATTTAATTTAGGGTTCTTTGATTTTTCATATAACTTTGGTGAAATTCCGATTAGAATTTCACACTTTGTACTAAAAACTAAATTTTTTCTTATATACGTACTAATTGTAATACTAAATTAAAAAAAAACGTTAATTCTAAAGTTAATGTCAAAAACATAAAAATAATTCTGAATGATTCTAGAAAACTAATTGTTACAGAGATGAAATAATAAAACAAAAGATATTTTTAGTTAGAGAATATTTCCGTAAAAATAACGTAACAAATAAGTAACGGCTTTTATATAATATACAACGTATTTATATTTTTATTTATATTAAAAAAAAAAAATTCTGAAGTTAATGTCATAACAAAAATAATTCTCAATGATTCTAGAAAACTAATTGTCATGGAGATGAAATAATAAAACAAAAGATTTTTTTAGTTAGAGAATCTTTACGTAAAAATAACGTAACAAATAAGTAACGACTATTTTAAAATAATATACAACGTATTTATATATTTATTTATATTAAATAAACGTTAATTCTAAAGTTAATGTAATAACAAAAATAATTCTGAGTGATTCTAGAAAACTAATTGTCATGGAGATGAAATAATAAAACAAAAGATTTTTTCAGTTAGAGAATCTTTACGTAAAAATAACGTAACAAATAAGTAACGACTGTTTTTAAATAATATACAACGTATTTATATATTTATTTATATTAAAAAAACGTTAATTCTGAAGTTAATGTCATAACAAAAATAATTCTGAGTGATTCTAGAAAACTAATTGTCATGGAGATAAAATAATAAAACAAAAGATTTGTTTAGTTACAGAATCTCTTTACGCAAAAATAACGTAACAAATAAGTAACGAGTGTTTTGAAATAATATACAACGTATTTATATATTTATTTATATTAAAAAAACGTTAATTCTAATGTTAATGTCATAAACATAAAAATAATTCTGAATGATTCTAGAAAAGTAATTGTTATGGAGATGAAATAATAAAACAAAAGATTTTTGTAGTTAGAGAATCTTTACGTAAAAATAACGTAACAAATAAGTAACAGCTGTTTTCAAATGATATACCACGTATTTATATACTTATGGAGATGAAATAATGAAAATAAAATGAATTTTATTAATTAGTTTTGATATACGAAATCAATTATAATGTTTGTTACAAAATAAAAGTGTAGCTTCACGTTGTAATAACGTAACTAATAGGTAACGCGGCTACAAACATTTTTTTTAATGTTAAAAATTAATTTTTAATAATAAAAAAATTTTATTTAGTGAACCGAAGTAATGAAAAAATTGTTTTTCATATTAATATACAAAATAATTTGTAATGTTTGTTGCAAAATAGAAGTGAATCTTTACGTTAAAATAACGTAACAAATAAGTAACGCTTGTTTTCAAATATTATAAAATGTTTTTTACATATGTTCTGTTTTATGTAGATAAAATAATAAAAACAAATTGTAGTCAGTTTGTAGTAGTTCCAAATAAAAGTGAAATTTACGAATTTTTATGTTATAATAACGTAACAAATAAGTAACGCTTGCTTTCAAATATTATACAAAGTTTCTTACTGTTTTTTTACTGTTTTTCTTATGTTACTTTTTATGGAAAAAAATGATTTTTATTATAAATAATTTGTAATGTTTGTTGCAAGATAAAAGTGAAAATTCACGTTACAATAACGTAACAAATAAGTAACGCTTGTTTTCAAATTAACAAAGTTATTTACTTATGTTACTTTTTATGGAAATGATATAATTAAAAAAATACAAAATAATTTGTAATGTTTGTTCCAAAATAAAAGTGAATCTTTACGTAACAAATAAGTAATGGCTTGTTTTTAAAAAATATACATAATATTATACATAATATATGTATAACATTTAAAAACAAGTGTTTCTTATTTGTTACGTAAAGATTCTCTTTTATTTCATAAAAAAGCATTACAAGTTATTTTCTATATTAAAACTAACTAATAAAATTTATTTTATTTTCATTATTTCATCTCCATAAAAATAAAAAAAATTATCAGTCAGTTTTAATAAACAAAATAAATTGTAATGTTTGTTACGAAATAAAAGTGTAGCTTTACGTCAAAATAACGTAACATATAAGTAACAACTGTTTTTAAATAATATGCAACGTATTTATATATTTATGGAGATGAAATAATAAAAATAAAATGAAATAAAAGTGAATCTTCACGTAATAATAACGTAACAAATAAGTAACAGCTGTATCTAAATAATATACAACATATTTTTATATTTATGGAGATGAAATAATGAAAATTAAATAAATTTTATTTATTAGTTTTAATGTAAAAAATAATTTGTAATGTTTGTTGCAAAATAAAAGTAAATCTACGTAACAAATAAGTAACGCTTGTTTTTAAATAATATACAATGTATTTTTATATTTATGGAGATGAAATAATAAAAATAAAATAAATTTTGTTAGTTAGTTTTGATATACAAAATAATTTGTAATGCTTTTTTATGAAATAAAAGTGAATCTTTATGTTACAATAACGTAACAAATAAGTAACGGTTGTTTTTAAATATTATAGAATGTTTTTTACTTATGTTTTGTTTTATGTAGATGAAATGATAAAAAAATATTTGTAGTAGTTTCAAAATAAAAATTATGAAATTATACGTAACAATAACGTAACAAATAAGTAACGTTTGGTTTTAAATAGTAAACAATGTTTTATGGAGATGAAATAATAAAAAAATACATTTGTTAGTTTTAATGTGAAAAATAATTTGTAATGTTTGTTGCAAAATAAAAGTAAATCTTTACGTTACAATAACGTAACAAATAAGTAACGCTTGTTTAAAAATACTACAAAATGTTTTTTAGACACGTAACAAGTTTTTTCACAAATAATTTTGGTGTTTCCTTTAATATTCAGAATAATTTCTTTTAAATCTAGAATTTTAGTTAATAACAGCTCTATGTGTTAAATTTCATAATAACAATAACCGTAACATTAGTTTCTAAAAACACTACTAAGTATTTTAAGCAAGTCATAATTTTTGTAACTGACATACATAATGTTTTTCTGATGTAAACATTATATTTATAGTATCAGTCTTAGTTGTTTCTGTAGTAAAGCGTATTTAAGGCAAATAATTAACCATAAATATATATATACATATATAAATATATATATGTAAATATAAGCGTTTGTGCTTTCATCCCTCTTATTATATTAACTAAACTAATAATATTTGGTATAAATCGATTTAATAATTTAGTTTATTTCATTAAAAACTAAATCACAGATTAGATAATAAAAATTAAACATTAAAATCCCATTTACAAATATTTTTTATATTGAATTCTGTTGAAATTAAATTAATTTGACTTTAAATCATATTATTTATATAATATAAATTTCATCAAAGAAACAAAGCAATATTCAATTTCAAGACAGATAATATAAAAAATATTTAAGACTATCGATTGTTTAATTTTATATATATATATATATATATATATATATATATATATATATAAAAGTCTTTTTACCTCGATGGGACTACAAGTTTAAATTATTCTTCCTCATAAGCTGCTTCCGATGAAAATCTATCAAAAGTGTAGAGCGAAGCAAAATTATTGTTCAAATCTTCGATTTCTTTTGCATAAGCCGAAGCTGCTGAAATTTCAGGAACTGGCATAGATGAAGTTGCAGAAGCGTAGCTTAACCTAAATGAAAATAAGGATTAATTTGTTTTGTTATAACAATTTGATATATAAAAGCTGTAGATTTTTTAGTTCAACATTGAGACATATTCTTGAAATGTTGAAGTAATAAACAATAAATAATTAAACTATTTATAGATAAATCAACATTTTAAAGTTACATCATAGTACAAATCTTGATTTAATGATAAATGCTTGAATCAGAAGAATATTTTACCCCGTTCCTTGAAAATAATAAAATTAATTGCACATTTGTGCTGTGTACTAAACGTAAGTTTATTGATTAGAAATTATTTCTATATTTTTCGTTAGTAGTTTCATATAAATCTTTAAAGTCCCTTTTAACTTCTAGGTTGCTTTTTAATTTGCTCGACAGTAGAGTTCTTTCTCAAAATGCCATTTAAATTGCCTATCAGTAGAGTCCTTTTTGATCTCCAAGTTGTTTCTCAATTTGCACGTCAGTACAGTTCCTTTACATGATTTTGAGAACCAATTTGCTCGTCAGTAGAATCTATTCTCTTTCTCGCTAGAAAATTAATGAAAGGACTCTACTGACAAGCTAGAGCTAAAATATACAAAAGAGGGACTCTACTGACGAGCAAACTTAATCTTGTATTAAAAAAGAGACTCTACTTACGACCAAACTAAAAATGTAAAAAGGGGGACTCTACTGAATAAAATTAAAAAGAGGCTCTACTGACGACCAAACAAAAAATAAAAGAAAAATGAACCCTACTGATAATTTAAAAACGGAAGAAAATGGGGCTCTAGTGACGAGCAAACTGAAAATTAAAGAAAAAGGGACTCTACTGACGACTAAACTAAAAATCAAAAAGGGAGGGGAACTCTACTGACGAGCAATCTAAAAATAACATTGAAAAGGGACTCTACTGACGAGCAAAACTAAAAATAAAAGAAAAATAAACTCTACTGATAATTAAATTAAAAGAAAAATGGACTCTACTGACGAGCAATCTAAAAATAACATTAAAAAGGGACTCTACTGACGCGCAAAACTAAAAATAAAATCAAAAATGGACTTGTAGTTTTTATAAATCTTTAAAGTTATTAAAATGTAAACTATTTTTTAGGCAAGACAGATATTACAGCTGTTCAAAGAATTAGATTAAATCGCCAGCGAAAAAGTAAAAAAAATACAAGCAGTCAATGAATGTATGTTAATTTTAATTACATGAAGTTCTTCAAACACAATTATTACATGATGAGTGAAATTGGGAAAACAAAATTTCTTTAGGCGTTGTTTAACTTAATAATTATCTGCATTTTTATAGATATTGAAGAATATTAAAGCAACACAGCTTTAGACAAAGATATATCTTTTTTAGAATTATATCTCAGGCACTTTTGGAAGTTTAGAGAAGGCCTACATGTTTTTCTTTTATGATGGATATGAAAACTAATTACATAATGTGTTCCAGCTCCTCTTTCTACTGAAGCTCTTGAAATTAATGCAATAATGAAGAAGGTTAAAGTGAAAATATTAATTAACAATTTTCAAAACCCCCAAATAAAATAGATATAACTATGAAGAAAATTATAATAAATGTATATGCTATAACAATATCTATTGCTACAGATATATGTTTATGGGTTATGTCATTTTGCTGATAGAGAAACATATGTTCGTCATCAAATACTCAAGGTGCCCTAATAGATTTGACCAATACCATCAGTCAGCACCTTGAGGAAAATATGCATACAGCTGCAATTTTTATTGACTTACAAAAAGCTTTTGACACTGTGGATCATGGCATATTGCTCAATAAATTAATAGATTTGGGTGTAGTAGGTTTGTATTACAACATAATTAAAGATTTTCTCGTGGAAAGGGTGGTAAGGACGAAGGTGGGAAATTTTACAAGTGGGGGTCGTAGCATAACTTGTGGAGTCCCACAAGGTTCTGTTTTAGGTCCTTTATTATATCTGCTATATACCAACAACCTAAAAGATGTAAAATTAAAGGGCAGATACATACTATATGCAGACGATACTGCCATAGTATATGCAGATAAGGACAAAAAAAGGCTTGAAGATACAATAAACACGGACATGAAAACATACACCGACTGGCTAACTAAAAATAAACTAAGAATTAACATCAATAAAACAAAATACATATATTTCAAACATAAAAAAAATACTGAGAACACTAAACTAAATATTAAAGTAAATAATAGAGAAATAGAAGAAGTGGAAAGCATAAAATACTTAGGACTGATAATAAATGAAAAACTGACATGGACAGAACATATAAACAAAATAAAAAGAAAAATTGGAACATTAACAGGGGCATTGAAAAGGATCCACTCTTTCGGCAAAAAAAATAAAATACTAATTCTTAAAACACAAATACTACCTATAATTTTATATGGAATAACAACATGGAGCCAAACAACCAAAGCTAACTTAAATGACATACAGACAATAATGAATAAAGCCACCAAAATAGCATACAATTTTCCACATCTGACACCCACCAAATACTTACAGAGAGAAACAAATAATCTTTCACTAAATAACATAATTAAAATAGAGAAATGCAAACTAATACACAAAATGAAATTTAACCGAATTAAAACAAGCACAACAATAGACATAAATCAAGATATACATGAACACTATACTAGACAACACAACAATTTTCACATTGAACACAATAGAAAGAAGAATTTCAGAGAAAATGTCATATGGAGTGCCAGCAAAACATATAACGAATTGCCAAACAATATTAAGATGACCAAAGATGACGATAAATTTAAAAGAAAAATAAAAAAACACTATAAGGAAATTGAAGACCAAGAAGACTGAAGAGTGATATATAAAGATATTTTTAGTTATATATAGATATTATATTAATGAAATAGATTATTATAGTCAAATGAAATGTATATATTATATGAAAACTGTTTTCATAATCTCTCATACCAGGCAACTCTGCCTGACTGAGATATGAAAATAATGTATATATATATAAAAAAAATAAAAAAAAAAAAATTCCATAAAAAATTAGTCTTTGATATAGATCAAGTATTTCATGAAATAAAATATCTTCTTGTGCACTTAGAATACCCAAATTTCAAGGAAATATGTTTTATATTTAACAGCTTTTCTATGTTGCAATAAATCCAGTTACCAGTATAAATGGATTATTTATTATTTCTAAAAAAAATAGGACAAAAAATGGGAGAAAATTAGCAGCAAGAATGAAACTAAAGACTTTCTACCGTTTAGACACATAACACGACAAGAAGAAATTAGTGATTCAATGATATTTCACTCTTCTCATTTAAATAGCAAAGCTTACAATTTCATTTTACTGATCCTGAGCGTAAAGTATTATAATGTTGATATTTTTATAAAGATATTCAAATTCATTACTCTAAACAAGAGATCAAGCACAACAATAGTTTGTGTAGCTGTGTATCATTGACGAACAGATATACTTCATAATGGACATCTATGCAATTTATTTACTGATGAAACTACTCAAGATTGTTATATTTATTGAACATATTTTAATATTTGTTAAAGGGATAATTAAAGTGTTAACTGTAGGAATTGAGAATCATCATTTTATTTGAAGCAGTTCTACATTTAACATCGCTCATATATTGTTGTAAATAGTAATGGGAAAAACAATAATGATTATTTTTAACTGAACGGTAAATATTAGTATAGAACATTAAAAAAACGTAGATGTGGGTACAGGACAACGTCTGTCGGGTCAATTAGTATATATATTATATATATATATATATATATATATATATATATATATATATATATATAATAGATATATATATAAATATATTTATATATATATACATATATATATTATATATATATATATATTTCTCTTACCTCTGTCCTTGGTTAGACCTGGGTGCCCCTCGAAAGCTTGAATAAGTAGGAATCTCATAATCGAATTCCATGTAATGCTTTAGGGGGCAATATTTTGGAGTGTGCGCCATATCCCCTGTAGCGGAGCATATGGGGCAGATGCAAGCCCTTAGCACGGGGCATGTTACCCTACCATCGAGATCCTTAACAAAATGGGTCTTGTAGTTGAGCGCTGGAGTGCCATTGTTTTTGCAAAATACACATTCCTAGATAAAATAATAAAATGTTAATCGATAAACGTATATTAGGTTGTCAAATATCTCCCTTCCGCCTTTTTGTATTATAAACCAAGAGCAAAAAAGCGGAAGGGAGATATTTGACAACCTAATATATAAATTTATTACCTTTCGTTGGGTAAGTTATAGTAATTGCAAAAAATTGAAAATGAAATTTTTTGCATATCTTTACGTTTCAGAGGTTTCTGAACATTTTGGTATACCTTAGTAAAAATGGATGTATGTGTATATGTGTTTGTTGCGGATACAAATTTTCGTCGACGATTTCGGGAACACGGTTCAACTGATTTGAATAATTCAAAAAACATTTGATTCGTATTGATAAGGAGACGTGCTGATTAGTTTTTGGCATAGGCGGGTCTAGCCGTTCCGAAGATACGGGGCAAAAAGTGCCAAAAATGGTAACTCAGTTTTTAAGAGAACGGAGCGTCCGATTTTAATAATTCAAAAAACATTTTACTTGTATTGACAAGATGAAGAATTGATAATTCATAAAGGCAAGTCTAGCGGTTTCGGAGATCTAGTGAAAAAAGTAAAAAATAAACGACATTTGGCGATCAAAAATGATCATTAAATATATGCATATCAATTTATCAGATATTACGTCTCTGTGCAGTTAAAGCAGTACGATTGCTTTGGAAAAAAGTTCAGAACTTCCAAAATATTTCAAAACAAAGAAAACATTGATTTTTCAAAAAGTCTTTATTCCAAAAAAAAATTTTTTTCAAAAATGTATAATTTCTCAAAAATGTAAATTTTTCAAAGTAAAATCTTTTCAAAAATGTTAATCTTCTTAAAAAAAAATAATTTTTGGTACGGGAAGTTCCAGCAATTTGCCTTAATGCACGATGCCATACGCCCCACTAGTTTTTTTTTTACTTTTTGTATTCTTTGTTCAATGTTCTATAAAATATTTACAATATCAAGACTCTACCATATAATATATGGTTTAGGGTTTGTCAGTTTTCAAAAACCGGTTTTTGGATGAAAATTATGGAATTCGAAAACCGGTTTTTTAGTACAATAAGTCGGTTTTCACTGTATAAATGGAAAATGACAAAAATAGCCAAATGTAAAAGATAGATAGAAGCATTTCGATTCTTGAAATCATATAAGTTCAATAGCATTTTGAATCTTATCAGTCTGCTATGGTTTCCAGAAAGGTTTTGTGTTTTCTTTTGTGTAATGTATATATTTAGATTTTTATATCAGTGTATATATTAATTTAAATTAGTGTGTCTTCTTGAAGAAGTAACTTCCTCTACTTAATCTTAAAAATATGAGTTTTCAAACCTGAAAACCATAAATAAAAGAACAAAAAACTTAGAATTATTACATCAGGCTTTAAAAACAATTAAGTTCGGTCGCAAATAAGAAAGTATTTACTATTTCGGGAAATTTTGTGAGTAAACAAAGGAAACCTCTAAGTAACAAATTGATAGACGTTCTCAGTTTTTTGAAATCATATTTTATTAAACAAGAAAATAATTAAATTTTTTAAAATTAATTAATAAACATTACTCAGAATAGAATATAGTAGGGTTTAGCTTAATTGCTTTTGAAACTAAAATTGATATTAAGTATGTATCAACAAGTATCTGTTTTTTTTAAATTTAATAAATGTTTTTTATTTAAAAATGTATTATTTTTTTTTATTCGAAAACTTTCCTTTCACTATCATAAAAATATTTTCATTATTATATGTGAAAATGATGCATGAATAACGAATAATTATTTTCAAAGTTATTTAATCCAGATAACCTATTATTTTTTTGTTCTACTAATTAAAATTAAAATAATTCTGTTTACTATCCATAAAATTTACCAATAAATAAATTTAGTCAAAAACTGCTTTAAATCGCACTAAATTTGCGGATAAATTTTTGTTATTATAGAATATTCAAGCAAAAATTTATTTTCTATATAAAATTCGAAAATCGGCTAAAACCGGTTTTGTAGCAAAATTAAAATTCGAAAACCGGTTTTCTGAAATGTCGGTTTTTGTATTAGTATATACATGTATATATATATATATATATATATATATATATATATATATATATATTATGATTATGTGTACCTTTTTGGGCATCGTTAGCTGCTCACTCATTGACAAATTTTTGCGCATTTCATTTGCAAAATATTTATCATAAAAATGTGTGGACGATTGAGCCAAATTTGTCGTCGGATTTGGCGACGTCGAATCATCAATATCGACAGTTTTCCCATTGTTTTCAAAATCTCTCCAGATTTCAGCTGAAAAATAACAAAATTGATAAAATATGTGTAAATAATTGATCAATAAGAATCTAGATTTATCTATTTAGATAAAATTAACAACTGTTAATAAAATAAACTAGTTGGTATGTGTATTTAGCCTTGAGGCAAGTTACATGAACTTCGCGATATGCGTAAATAATCGTCGTAATCAATAAAATATAAATTAATTTATGAGTCATTAAAAGTATTCCGAGTGGATTTATTACACATAATTGAAAACGAACGGACACGTTAACTCGAAGTATTTTCTAAAAGCAAATTTTCAAAAATCAATAATTTTTATAATTGAACCAGTTTCCGTATGACTTTAATGGTTTAGTATGTTCAAGACCAAGTACTCTATCATTATACCAAGTAAATAGTCTAATTTTAATTTTAACAAATGTCAAAAAAACTATACTCATTTTCTCAAACTCTGATAAATTTTTAAAATTAAACTACTTGCCGTAAGGCCGTAATATTTCAGTAAGTTTTTATTATTTAAGTTTTAAGACCATGGTATATATCGCTAAAAAAAATCCATAAATATCGGCTTAATTTTTTTTTCAACAGTTAATTACGAGAAAACGGCTCGGTAGATTTTCACCTAAAACTAATCAGTATCATTCCCAACTAATATCTTTCGAACAGTTTTTGATTTTTTAAAATCGGTTCGGCGGGATGAGCTTAAGTGGACGAAAAGTTTAACACTCTACTGCAAATGACAAAGAAACGGCTCGGCAGATCGTCACACAAAACTGACAAACGATAGTCCTCACCGAAATACATCAAACGGCTTTTGAATTTCTAAAATCGGTTCAGGCTTTTTTGACCAAACGTCGATGAAAGGTCTAATTTTGACAAATGCCAAAAAAACGATACCAATTTTTGCAAACTTGAACGAATTTTTAAAGCTGAACCAGTTGTCGTAGGGCCGTAATATTTTAGTATGATCTAGAAGACTATGGTATCTACCGTCAAAAAAATAATCATAAAAATCGTCGAAATTTTCTTTTTAAAAACTTTATTACAAGAAAACGGCCCGGCCGATCTTTACCAAAAACTAATCAGCACGATTCCCAATCAATATCTATCGATTGAAAACTTTCAAAATGGAAATTTCAAATGGAAATTTTCAAAATCGATTTAGAATTGCGGGCTAAAACGTGGAGGAAAAACTTTTCACTTCTCTGCTATTTACAAAGAAACGGCTTGGCCGATCGTCGCACAAAACTGACAAACAATAGTCCTCATCGAGATACATCGAATGGCTTTTAAACGTTTGAAATCGGTCCAGCCGTTTTTTTGAGAAAACGGCGATTTACGGCAAAAAATCTGTTGGTGCACACGCACACACACACGCACACATACTTTTTCCAAATTTGGTCTCATTCGATTCAGAACGGCTTGAAACGTCAAGAAAACATAAAATTAGCGAATCGGATTTTTTGATGAAAACAAACTTCTCCTTAGGGAAGTTAATAACAAAAATATGTATAAACAATATAATAATAAGGATCTAGATTTATCTATTTAGATGAAATTCTATCTTCTTTTTAATATTTTTATTTTGTTATATTTATTATTAACTATCACTTATTGTTTTTATTTTACTTTTTTGTATTCGTAGTATTATTTTTATTATTCAGAAATTTTATTTATTTTACTTATTAATTTTATTATTATTATTATTTGCTTTTATTTTATATTAAATCAACATACTACAGATATCATTTTATTGAAAATTCTATCCTTTATTTTGTAATATTTTTATTAAATTTATGTTATTGTTCATTACTGTTACTTTATGTTAATTATTTAGTAGTTGTAACAAATATAGTAATTAAAAAAAATCTATCTCCTTACCCAAATATGTATCATCATTAGTACACCTAACACCGATGTAGTCCAAATGGGGTATATAATAAGGCTTGTAAAAATCATCGTAAGGAAACTGGTCATATGTACTATAGGCCTTCAGCAGAATCTGTTTTATGCCATCGGTCACTTCTGTGCCAGAACTGGAGGCACTTTCACCACCTGAGGCGTTTTCCAGGTTGTCTTCGAATTTGAACCCAGACATTGTAATATAATGTCCAATTGTTATATATTATTAAAAAAATGTAGATTCTAAGTAGTCAATTCTAAACAAAGCAGTTCTTCGAGACGAAGACTTTATCAATTGGTTAAAATTTTATAATTCTGATCTACATTAATTGGTATGAAAATATTTATGTTACATTATATGTAATGTAGATACTACTTTTCCAGCAAGGTTATACAGATATCTGAAAAAGACAAAAAGAAAATTAAATTATCTATTTATTATGTACGTTTCGGCACTGTATGTGTGCCATCATTCACAGCACATATTCTGTTAAATCTTACTAAATAATTTTATGATCAAACTTTTGGTTGATTATTTTATTATATTATTTTTTTTAATACTAATAACTAAATATTGTTATGATCTAACCTTCGGTTCATTATTTTATTTTATTGTTTTTTGTTATATTAAAAAAATAATTAACTATTTATTATGTACGTTTCGGCACTATATGTGTGCCATCATTCACAACACATATTCTGTTGCATCTTACTAAATAATTTTATGATCAAACTATCAGTTCATTATTTTATTTTATTGTTTTTTCCCAAAATAAAAAATAATTAACTATTTATTATATACGTTTCGGCGCTATATGTGTGCCATGGTTCAGCACATATTCTGATACATCCAACTAAATATTGTTATGTTCTAACCTTCGATTCATTATTTTATTTTATTGTTTTTTGTCAAATTAAAAAAATAATAAACTATTTATTATGTACGTTTCGACACTGTATACGTGCCATCATTCAGCTCATATTCTAATATTTAGTTCATTATTTTATTTTATTTGTTTGCCATTTTTTTCCATTGATGTCTTTAAATTGATGTGTATAATACAGTCGAGAACAAATTTTCCTAAAATGATTTGTATTCAGAATTTTATAAAAATGATCATCAATTTTAGTATTTGTTATTTCAATAATAACATCTATAATTAATGTGTGCAAATTACAAAATTGTAGCACAAACGTACATATACTTACACTAATAATAATAATTTATAATGTGATGAGTAAAATATTATCAATTCAATAACCGTGTATATGTTTAAAACTCTTGTAATTTTTATTATGCTGAATGAAAAAATTAGCTTAAGTATTTACAACTGCTGCTTGATATCAAGCTGTCCGGGGCGTGTATCAAATTTGAAAAATCAACTCGTCTTTTATATACTTCATTTTTTTTTTAAATTAATGCTTGTGTATAAAACACTAAATTGTAATTCTTATCGTAAAAAAATTAGCTCAAGTATTTGTTACTGCTGCTTGATATCAAGCTGTCCGAGACGCGCATCAAATTTGAAAAATATAATTGTAAGCCTTGCATAATGTGTGTAAAACACTAAATTGTAATTTTTATTATGGTAAAAAAAATATCTTGAGTATTTACTACTGCTGCTTGATATCAAGCTCCGAGACAAATTTGTAAAATATAATTGTAAGTCTTTCATTTCTTTTAATATTAATGCATGTGTATAAGATACTAAATTGTAATTCATATTATCGTAAAAAAAATTAGCTTGAGTATTTACTACTGCTGCTTGACATCAAGCTGTCCGAGACGCGCATCAAATTTGAAAAATCTACTTGCCTTTTATATATTTTATTTATATATGTTTTTAAAAATTCATGCATGTATATAAAACACTAAATTGTAATTCTTATTATCGTAAAAACAAAATTTTAAAAATCGAGTATTTACTACTGCTGCTTGATATCAAGCTGCCCACACGTGTATAGAATTCGGAACATCTGATTGGAAGCCTATTATAATTTCTTGGATTAGCCATGTGTATAAAACAAATAAAATAAATAATGAGTTTTAGTATTTGTTTATCGTACTTGATATCAGGCTGTCCGAGGCATGTATAGAATTTGGAACTTCTGACTCGATAAATTTTATATATTTTGAATCAGTGCATGTGTATATAACTCTTGTAATATTTATTGTATTAAATAAATTAGTTAGTTGTATTTTTTGTTATCACTGCTTGATATCAGGCTGTCTAAAATGTGTGTCGAATTTGGAACTTTTGACTCAAAAACTGAGAATTTTTTGAATTAGTGAACGTGTATGTATCTATTGTCCGTCTCGTTATGTTAAATAAATCAGTTTTGATATTTATTATTAATTTGTTACTAATGTTAAATAAATCAGTTTTAATTTCTGTTACCACTGCTTGATATCAGGCAACCCAAGTCGGGTATAGATTTTGCAACTGAAATTCAATTATAATTTTTGAATAAGTGCATGTAAAACTCTTGTAATTCTTATTATGTTACAGAAATAAATTAGTTAGTTTTAATTTTTGTTACCACTGCTTGATATCAAGCAGTCCAAAGCATGAATAAAATTTGAAACTTGACTAGACATTTTTATAATTTTTGAATCAGTGCTTGTGTATAAAACTCTTGTAATTCTTATTGTATTAAATAAATCAGTTAGTTTTAATTTTTGTTACCTGTTTGTTTTGTTTGCTTGATATCAGGCTGTCTAAAACGTGTGTCGAATTTGGAACTTCTGACTGGAAAAGATAATTTTTTGAATTAGTACATGTGTACAAATCTTAAAATTCTTATATGAAATAAATAAATAAATTTAGGTATTTTTTTACTGCTGCTTGACATCAAGCTGTCTGAGGCATGAATAAAATTTGAAACTTCTGACTCGATACTTTTATATATTTTGAATCAGTGCATTATTCAGTTCAAAATTCTCGTAATTTTTATTACATTAAATAAATAAATTAGTCTTAGTATTAGTTAATGCTGCTTGATACCAAGCTGTCCGAGGCATGAATAAAATTTAAAACTTGACTAGACATTTTTATAATTTTTGAATTACAAATTAGTGCTTGTGTATAAAACTTCTGCAAAATTTATTACATGAAATAAATAAATTAGTCTTAGTATTTGTTAATACTGCTTGATATCAAGCAGCCCGAAGGGTGTATCGAATGTAAAACTTTTGCCTAGAAAACATATATTTTTTTAAATTAATGCACGTGTATACAAATCTTATAATTCTCATTATGTTAAATAAATAATTGATTTTATATAAATTTACCACTGCTGCTTGATATCAAGCTGTCCGAGACGGGTGCAAAATGTAAAAAAAATCTGTATATATAAAACATAGTTATACCATACATAGTTATATTTTCAAAAACTATGTTGACTAATAAATTTATAAACTTGTACAAAAATTAGATGTTATAATAAATTATTTATAAAAAATAATTTGCTTGGAAAAATGCGTTCACAAAATGGCCGCTGGACAAAAATTTTGGGGTTTTTGTTATATTATACGTTAATTACTCACAAAATACGTACAAAACAATATTTTACTTACACAATTTAAATATTTGAACAAATATAAATAAGTAACTCATACAAAAATAAATGCGTTTTTCAAAAACGTGAAATACATAACCCTGTTCTGTTGCAAGTGCGGCATGCTCAAAGACAAAAACTTATCGTAAATATCAACGGGCATTTTGTACAAAACATTACACACAAAGTTGTAAAGACATTATTAATAAACAATACTTGTTAGTCTCCATTATATATTCATTAAACAATATTAGAAATAAATCCTTTTTCTACTTACCGATTAACGACACCGCCATACACGAGACCGACAGCAAATCTTTTCGCGTCCAAAAACACTATAAATATTCACCACCCGTGGCATCGACATTAATATTTATATTCTCCAACAGTTAATAAACACTTTGATATATATTTTAAATATTGTTGCAATGTATTTACTAAATTATTTAAAATATTATAACACAACGTACGAAGCACGTCCATCAGCCAGCAACCACTTTGGAAAAGAACGAAACGAACATGCACGAACTTCAACGACGAGCGACGAACACAGATAAATTATTTCGATTAATAAATTGAATAAAAGAATTATAAATAGATTTAATGGTAATAGAGATATATTTTGTTTATATAATATTGATTTTTATTGATAAAAGATAGTTTTTATGCGTTTTGAAGTGTAAATTAAGTCTTTAAATTTGCAGTTTTGAATTTGCCGCCATTACGCAAGTATTGTGTACACTCAACGTCAAAAAATATTTTGATTTTGTGCTTATTTTAATAATCGTAATTCAAAAATTATTTCTATTTATTTGGTGTTTGATTGATTAAATAAACTAGTTGTGTTATTTAGCCTTAAGGCAAGTTGTATACACTTTTCGATACGTATAAATATCCGATTTAATTGAAATTGACATTGAGGTATTTATATAAAATTTGTTAACAATGTTTAAAATAAAGTTAATATGTTTAGTAATAATTATTTGATGTTTAAAAATACATTTTGTTTATATAATATTCAATTATATATTAGTAATTTACTGTTTTGAAGTGTAAATTAAGTTTTTATTTATAGTTTTAAATTTGGCGCCTCTTACGCAAATATTGTATGTACACTCAACGTCAAAAAATATTTGGATTTTGTGCTTATTTTAATAATCGTATTGCAAAATGTATTTATATTTTATTTCTAAAATAACGGTGTTATTATAGCATTTGGATAATTAAATAAGCTAATTTTGCCTTAAGATAAGTTTCCGATACGTATAAATATCCGATTTAATGAAAATTAACATTTAGTTATTAACATATAATTTGTTAACAGTGTCTAAAATAAAGTTAATACGTTCAATATTAATCATTTGATGTTTAGAAATACATTTTATTTATATAATATTGTTTTATTGATATAGAGATTGTTTGTTGGTCTTTTTTATACGTTTTGAAGTGTAAATTAAGTTTTTAACATTGTAATTTCAAATTTGGCGCCTCTTACGCAAATATACACTCAACGTCAAAAATTATTAATATTTTTCGCCATTTTAATAATCGTACTGTAAAAATGATTTTTATTTTACTAAAATCGTGAAATAACAATATTAGTGTATACATATAGATAATAACTGGTGTTTAATTAAATAAACTAGTTGTAAGTGTCATTTTGCCTTAAGGCAAGTTGCATAAAAATCCAGATTCATATAAATATGCAAATTAATAAAGAAAATTTGACAGCTAAGTTATTTACATCAACTGTCAA